GGATAAGTTCACATGGTTGTCTTGACCCATGCAGATAAACATAACTATCTTTTTTAATTACCAGTCAAATTTTTATACAAAGTACATTTTTGCTTTCCATTAGCTGTGAGTAAAAAATATACCACTTTTGAACGAATCTGTTTCACTTTTTGAATTGATTTCCTGGAATAAATAAAGTCTTCAGTGATATTCTAGTCATTTGAAATGCTCCTGTATAAGAACCCAACTGCTTACGCCTTCCTTTGAAGAATCCATTTAGTCGTTTTGCACTCAATTTATGAACTTCTCCTAAAGTAGTTAAATAAATCCCCTTAGATTATCAGCCTGCAGTTGAAAACAATCCAAGTAATTATGTTATTGCTTGATCTGAACCTGAAAAATCCTGCTGTATCATGTTTGTCATCAAAGGCTTCAGTATGTACTGTATGTTTTTCAGCTGTTAAAAAAAAAAAAAAAAAAAGGTAAACATGTTGATCAAACCTCATTGGACCCTTGAGACAAGGAAAGCAACATATCTTTGCTTAATCACTCCGTTAAATGATAGTAGCACCTTTAACTTTTTGACCACAAATAGTTTTCTAGAACCTTCTTGATATTTCTACTTGGAAACTTGTGTAGAACCTCATAGGTGACATCAGTTCACTGTAGATACTTCACCTCAGCCCACTCAGAGAGCATCTAAACCTGCAGTTGGTTTCACTGGAAATATATAGAAATGTTTTTTATGCTTTAAAGAAAAGCAAAGATCCAAACATCAGCAGTGATGACTTTCTTTTAAGATACTGAGGAGGGGAGAATTATGGATCTGAACAACATATGATTAAAATGTGAGTTGTTATGCAGGATCATATAATAGCAATGTCTACACCCCTTTCCTATAAGAACACTGAGCACCTGATTTGTCAATAAACCTTTCCAACCTCCTTCCTGCTCCCAGTGAATACAACCATGTGGAAACATGACTTTTATTGAAACAACTTCCTGCCACCTGTGATGTTTTTGGTCATGACAAAGAACTCTGAAGCCATGAAAGAAGCATTTTCAGATGAAAACATCTTTTGTGGAAATTGTCTTCCATGGAGACTGATATTGTTACTGGCCCATTTTAACCATGATTTGAATTCATGGCTTAACATGAACCTGCCTGTGTTTACACACGTCTACTAAGGCAGGACTTGCAATGTTGCTGCTTCCAGGTTAGACTTGCCATTGCGTGTACATTGCATATGCACATTTTGGGGCCGGAGCAAGGCTGTCTTAATGCTTTCAGAAACGTATTAATCATTTAATATATCGGTTTATATAAAACAACCAGTTTACCAAATAATGAAATAACTAAATGATCTAAAAATAAAACCACAGTGGTGATACCCAAAATACACCCCCATTTTTTGATTAAAATGCTGAACCCTCCTAGGCTGCTCACCCCGCTGCTGAATGAGGTGATCAAATTTAGCTTTTTGAAGCGACCATCTTATTCTGTAAGGCACCAAAGAGACTGAGACGCAGTGAAATATGCAGCATATTTTGTTTTAGCTCACCGTGAATACAAATATAATACAAACATAAAAACGATTTATCATGTAATGGTTGACTAAATAGTTGGATTTAGGTATTACTTTGAAAAAGGCTAGCTTTTCAGCAGTGGCTTTACTCAAGCTTTTGTTAAAGATACAAGTATGTCTATATAACCACAAACATTAGTTTTTTTTATATTTCTGCTCTTAGTTTATTAAAATATAAGGCTGCTCACAGGTTACATTACTAAATAATTGACTTGTACTGGATACATATTTATTTGTAAATGAGACATCTTGCATGAACACAGTATTTGCTGTTTTAATGCTATTTTATATCTGCTGAGCCATTTAGAAGTTGAATATATAGTAAAAAAAAAAATTACATTACCTCCTGTAAATAATGGTTTCAGGTTCACCTCAGTTCACCCCAATCAGAAAGAATCTAAACATGCCGTTGGTTTCACTGTAAATATATATAAATGTTTTTTATGCTTTAAAGAAAAAGAGAAGAATAAAAACATCAGAAGTGATGAATTTCTTTTAAGATTTTGAGGGCAAAAAAGAATCTTGGATCTGAACAAAATATGATTGAAGTAAGTAAGGTTCTTCTTACTTTCAGGAAGAGTAAGGAGCAACCAGGGAGCATTCTGAGGCTAAGGGTCTTGTTCATGGAACCTAGGTGATAATCTAGTTTTGCCAATCACTGATATGATGCATCAAAAAGGAAAGTTCTAAGCCTACTCTTAAAAATAGACAGGGTGTCTACTACAATTAAAATGGGCCAATCTCCAGCATCTATAAACAGAGATGTCGATGGCAGCAGTACAGCTGATATTTCAATCCAAGATGGAGTCACAGTGGAACAGGGACTGATCGTATTAAGCTACTATGATGAGAAAAAGCAGAGAGAATATAAAGTTATGTGATGAACTTCAAATACTGCAGAATGAGAGAACAGAGAGAGTGAAGCAGGATGAGAAGAAGTGATCCAGCAACCCAAACATATTGTAGCATAAATATAGACAATAGCCCAGGATGACTGAATATTTTGGATGAGGTATGAGAAAGGTTGAGCCAAGAAAAAAACTTCATTAGGGACTGAAATTCTTTCCCCGCTGGATCAGGTTGTTAATGCTCTACCTCCACCTACCTCTACTCACCCAGCAACTGAGCAAACATTGCTCTGTTTTTAACTATGAGCTTCATCAAAGAGAAAACTTTGAAGCCTTACAAGTAGACAGTGTCTGCCTTATGGATTGAGACTGGTACTTGGTTCCACAGGAGAGGAGCCTGATCACCAAAAGATCTGCCTCCCATTCTACATTTACAGAATTCTAGGAACCATCAGTAAACCTGCAGAATGAGAGTGAAGTGCTCTGTTTGGAACATCAGGAATAATCAGATCTCTTATAAAAGATGGTTATTTAAGGCTTTTTATGTGAGGAGGAGGATTTCTGTTTCAACAGACAACAAGACAACAATCCCAAGCACAACAGTTAGCAAGCCCTATCTTGATCCCAAAACAGATTGTAAAGGAGAGGTGTGAAATCCAAACGAATCTGTCTGATGGACAAAAACAAAGAAATGCAGAACAATTATTGGATGTAGTTCAATCATCCTGGGCTGGATAAACTGTTATTGAGCGCTAGAAGTTGGACGCCATCCAACACCAATATGTCGTAGTGCAATGTTATACAACTTATTATTAGCCCACTATTCACAGGTAAGCCTTGCCCCATGGCATTTTCTTGGGTTACACAGTGGATTTTTTTTTTTTGCTGCTGTTTTTTAAATAGTTTTTTGATTTCCTGTATTATAACCGGTTTTATACATTTTTCTTTATTCATATTTTTAAACAACTTTATGCAACATATTTCTATGTTACATTTTAAAGACTGTTAACTACAAGGAAACAATAGCAATAATAATGAAGAAATTAAGGAATATGTGATCAGTTGTATTATCTTCCTGAACTTACTTCATAGTCTTATTCAATTGAAATAAAATTACTTTATTACCTAACATAACCTAACAAATTAAACAAGATTAAAAAATTTAATACTGGAACAAAATGATCCAATATAAGAAATATCAGACACAGGAAGAAACCCTGAACATGGCCTCAAATAGGGGAAAGGAAGCAAGCAAGACATCAAAACACAAATAAAGATATATAACTCACAGAGAAAGAGAAACAGTGTGTAACATTTATGGAGACATTTGTTAGGTTTATTCTTTATACTCATGTGAATTGTTACTTTGTTAGCCAGATTAGACAGAGTAGAAGGCCTTCCTTCTCATGGTGGATGTCACTGTGTGTACAGAGGCCAACTAATCAGGACAGCCTTCATGTCTTTAAAAATACACAGGATATGGGCAGATCTTGGAGCCCGACTGATAAAGGAGAGCTATGTGTAATCCTTAGGTAAAGTGGCAAGATGCATGAATTTCAAGGCATGGTTGGCGTGTCAGTTTCTGATACGGACAATTAAGCATCCACCTGATGCAACACATAGACTCATGAGGTATAAGAAGGTGGAGATGACCTTGTTCGGGGCTCAATCTTTGCTCAATCGTTGCTAGATGCTTTCTGACGTTTTTTGAGCCCACAGCTGTGCCAACCCTAAGCAATTTCTCTGTCCTGTAACGACCTGACCTGGAATAAACGCTGTTACTTTTTTACTCCTGTTTTATAGTCCTTTGTTATATGGTTTTACCCAGTTTGAGGTAAGAGTAGTAACTTGCTCCCAGGTAAAGAACCGGTAGGGAAGTTCCGAGGCGCAGCCGCTATCAGGGGGACCTAAATTACATATTTAACACATTGAAAAAAATAACTAAAAGCTGCAAAGGTCTATTATTAAAAACACAGCTGTTCAGACTTTATCCAGCCTTTGATAAATAAAAGGGCATTAGAATAGGGCCAATATCCAATATATGTAAGAACGATAGATAGATAGATAGATAGATAGATAGATAGATAGATAGATAGATAGATAGATAGATAGATAGATAGATAGATAGATAGATAGATCTCTGTGTGTGTAATTTACTCTATGCCCACCTGAGGTCGCTGTCTTTCTCTCATATCGCATGTAGCCTCATGTTTTTTTGTACCTGCTCTCGAAAACGTTATCAGATGAAATCATCAACTACTTCTTGTTATAGTGGCAAATAAGTAAAACCTGGATTTTACTGAATTCTGAAATCTTAAAAAACCTGAATTTTATATGTTTCATCATTAAATGAATGATAAGACCTAATTATAAGTATACAGCAATGCAATATTGCCTCACTGTAAGAAAATGTTATTAACAAAGATCTGATTCTTTTTGTAGAAAAGAAAATAAGTGATTTTGATGAATACCATGTGTTTGCTCACTTTACGTAAAATATTCCGCAGCAACGTCTCACGACTTATTTTTCTCCCATGAAGCCGTGCGGTAGGGGCTTCTCGTGTGCGCGCGCGCGCTGTCCGTGGTGCTGAAGCTGCGCGTGCCAACCACAGGAGCATCCTTCCGCGAGATCAGAAGGAGGAATTCAGTTTTCGACGGTTGTACCGTTTAGGGATGTTTCCTCATGCTTCCTCTGGGTGTTTTTAAAGCTTTAATTCTTTGAACAACAAGTAAAATTCCACAGACGTGTCTGGAGACCTTTTATTTCCTTTTTATCGACGCTTCCTTACAGTTTGGTGCCGCCGCCTGCCTCCGCCGATACCGCATCCTTTATGCACAGCACGCTGCTCCGGTCCTCCCAGACGAAACACACAGAGCACAATGGTCCGCTCCAGCTGCATTCACTGAGGGACATGGAAGCTAAACAACACCCGATAAAAAGCCTAAAGAGCTTCCCGGAGACTGGCGGCCGCAGCCTCTCAGCGGCTGCCGGTGGAGGGGGAGGAGGAGACGGAGGGTTTCGAGCCGGCTCTGCCGAAATGGAGATGGAGCTCAAGATCCAGAAAGCTATCGACTTCAAGACAGAGGGTCATCGCTGCTATAAGGAGAAGAAATTCCGGGAGGCGATAGGCAAGTACCACCGCGCTCTGCTCCAGCTCAAAGGCGTTCATGTTGTTGACGGGACGACGAGCTCCGAGGTCAGCCTGCTGAGTCAAGCTGCGGCCAAGCTGACCGAGGAGCAGCGGAGAGCCGTGGAGAGCACCGAGATCGAGTGCTACGACAGCCTGACAGGTGAGCGATGGGTCCTGCTGACACTACAGTTCACAGAAAGCTGGCTTATTTCTGCACAGATGGAGGAAAAACAACCTATTGTTTATTTCCAGGAATGAACAAAGTGTACCGATTTTAAGGAAGATAGCAGCTTCAGCAACCTGTGCGCCAATTTCCCAAATAAATCCGTTTTTCACCAATTAATCATCAGTGAAATGTATCCTGTAAACCCGTCACACCTTATGATAGTCAATATTTTTAAGCAACAAGTTATATCTGCTTTTGACAACTTTAGCACACACTGTCCTATAAGATCCAGCATGCTGAGAGTTAAACAGATTTAATAAATGTTGTCCTTTTCACGTTGTGAGAAAATATTTATTTTGTTTCTAACGTGCAGTTAAAACCAGATAATTAGGTGGATTATATGATAAGATAACATCCTTTTAGATACTGAATTAAGTGAAAATATTTCCTTTTTCAGGATTGTCAGGATTATTGAAATTATAAAATTATTTATAAAATAACAGAATTACAAGAAATAGAGTTTATAGCAAGGATTTTTGAAACTTTTTGACATTTTCCATAGTAAGTGGTTGAATTGCTTGTTAAACTCGGCAAGTTCGCAAATATTCTTCCATGAGATATTATGGAAGAATAAATGCAAACAATAGTTTAGAGGGATTCTGACCTATCCCTCCTGACACTGCCTCGCTCTGCAGTGCCTATTAATTTCCTTTTGCCTTTCATTCTGTTTTTAACTCGTTTTGGTGATATGCATGGGTTCCTGTTTACTTAGTACAGGCGTCTGCAACCTTTAAAACCCAAATAGGCATTTTTTACTTCTGTCCATTAAATAAAACTCAGTTAGAGCTGCAAACATGAGCTTGAAAAAAAAAAGATAACTTATATATAACAAATGTTTATGGAAAATTATGTAAAAAAAAATAAATAAATAAAAAATGGCACCTAGAAAGATCAAATAGAGATATTTCTGTAATAGTTAGTAGATTTATTTCGGGGAAAAAAAAAAAAAAAAACATTACTACAGTCCAGCTAAAGTAACTTGTTCAGAGCCACAAACATTGCATGATGTTTTCTACAAAAAGACAAAGATAACATATTTAATAAATCTCTACCACAGGAAATGTTGTCCTTTTCAAATAACCAAATTTAAATTACATTTTAGGACATAAAACTTATTGAAAGGGAATAAACATATTTTTAACGGGTTGCAGCAATTTTTGGGAAATTATGTTTACAAGCAACATTTTATAAGTCAATTTCTTTTGACCATGTCATGATGTCATCATCATCATCAGGGCTTTTCTAAAGGGGCATAGTGATCTTACTGGATGTAAATGTCTTATGTTAGAGATCAATAGAACAACTCCAGAAATTCTGCAATTGACAACTGGGGATTATTTGAATACTCATATGTATAAACAGTAAAGATTTGTCACATTTTGATAGCAGCTAACAGAATAAGTGACCACTGTCTGAATTATAAGCAAAGTTTGCAGTTGCTAAGAGCCCCCTGCTTACTTTAGGGGCCCCAAAAGAACCTGAAATCTCAGAGGAGTTTACAGTCCTCCAACTGAAAACATGCTAAGGCAAGTATGGTAATTATGATTTCTGTAGTCTTCATTTGGGGCTAAGATAAAAAAAAACAAAAAAACATTGTCTCTGACAAGTCTTAACATTATGGAAAAAGTTTGAATAAGCAAATTAATTCATTCTTTATACACATTTAATAATAAGTTTGCAGTCGAGGTTTGACAATCAGAATTTTGTAAACAGCTGATAGAGTTTATTTCTAGCATTTATGTGGGAGTTCAACTCCTCACGTTCTATTAAGGCTTTGCAACTGTACCAAATCACTATATTACTTTTTTTTTTTTCTACCAAAAAGTTCGTCTGCACTAACCAGAAGATGTTTGGTTCAGGGTGTCATTGTTTTCATGGCCTTAAACACGATCTTGTTCAGACCCCAACTTCATGGGACTTTACTGCTGTGTTAAATAGTGTTTACTTTTCGCACACATGCATGGATCTGTGCATTAGCTGCAACCCGCTCTTCTCTTCTGTGTGTCCCAAACCCACTTTAAGCATATAACTGCCACCTATAACAGCTGGAATGATAAAATGTGTTTCTTAGTTAGGAAATATGTGATGTTTTTGCTTCAGTAACTTGAAAATGTTAAAATAATGTATCCCAAAAAAAGGAAAAAGCATTAAAAAAAATCATATCTGATCCTTTTCTGTCTGCATTTGGCAATTTTTTTTCTGATCTCCTGCTTGGTTATTGTTCAGATGAAGCTTTGAAATATAACAATCAAATTATTGTGTTAGCTCTTAGGACTAGACTGGTGACAAGGAGAAACAGATTATTTTCAATAACAGACCCAGAACTTTTGAATGGTTCCCTTATTCTTGTTGATTTTTAGTCTCTTTTAAAAACTCAGCCTTTATGTAATGGCTTTTAACTCAAGACAGGAAGATTTTCTTTAAAAGTTTGTTTGTTTGATTGATTTTATTGTATTGTTTATGATTTTATATCATATTTTATGCTGTTAAACTGCATTTTGGATGCAAAGTTTTCTAATAAAAAACTTTCCAGAGTTATATATCTTTTCAAAGTTTTTTTTTTTTTTGTGAGATTTTGCTTAATTTTTATCAAATATAAAACATACATGGCTTCACTGATATTTATATTTCTACATAATTTCAACGGCTGCCATATTAATTTTCTTCCTGACCTTTAGACCTCATTTTGGGTTATTTTATGCTACATTTCGTAAATCAACACCTTTTCTACCTTGGCGATATAATTCCCCAGCACAGTATAAAGTGGACTTTCTAAGACATACATTATTATGCTATTTTAACCTTATACTTTATTATATATTTCCTTGTGTTTTTGGTTTAACATAAAAATATTCTTCCAAAAAAAACAGTAATTATGATTGACGTTTTGCGATGCAGTTTTGACAGAAGCTGTTGTTAAATGTATGAGTCCAGCAGGAGGTGGACTCATACATTTGTGTGCGTCTCGGCAGCTGTATTACAATATTGTTAGGATTGTGTTGCCTAGTTTGAGAGCGGTGATGTTGTTTGTTATATCTGTGCCAGGCTCTGTCCAGTCAGTTTGCATGATGCATTGAAGGTCGCCTCCTCTGTGCAGCATTCAGGGTCTGTCTGGTGCCTGTAGGGAGGCCACTGTGGTGTGAAGGGAAGGAGGGAGGGAGGAAGCAGGAAGGGAGGGAAAGAAGAACAGAGAGAAAAAAAAAGAGCATGAGTGAAGGGAGTGGCAGGGGGGAGCTAAAGACTGAAAAACACTCATCATGTAGCATGAACCAAGAGAAAAAATACACAGAGGAGACATGTTAGCAGGACAATGGAGTGATAAGAGGCAGAGGGGTGGACTGCTAGCACTTCACCATGTCATACATTTACCATGGCAACCATTGCTGTGATTGTTCCCATTTATTTTGTTGTCATTGCTCATGCTTTTTGTTCTCTGCTGATTCAAGTCTGGGTGTGTGAAAGCACAATAACAGACCAGAAAACCTCAACTGGACCTTTCTTTACTGTCAGAACCTGTTCATTTACAGAGCGCCATGCAAAACCCATGAGTCATCATTACCTCTTTATATTTAACTTTTTCTACCCAAGGGCGATTAGCCAGAAAACTAACAGTACATAATCAGCTAAGAGAAAGTGGTTCTACTAATCATCTTGCAAAATATGCTTCTGCAATCAGGTGCAAGATTGCTGGATAGTGATGAGTTTGAATTATGTCAAAAACCTCTCAACCTTGTTCACCGCATGTGTGCATATGTTTGCTCTGGGAATGCTGGCTTCCTGCAGCAGTCCAAGAAAACGTGTGCTTGGTTAATAGGTCTCTAACTAATGTCCTTCAGTGTGGGAATGAAACAATACTGTAGGCCTACCAAGATTAGGCATCTGTCCCTTAACCTGTGTACAGGTAAGTTCTTGTATTCATGACACCATGGGACCTGATACCACTTTAACAGGAGTTACAAATAGATGGCGTCTTTGTTTGAATATAGTCCTTTTAAGTAAGTAGAAGTAATGCAGAGGAAATTGAGGCAGACCAGTTTGAAAGTAAAAAAATAAACAAGAAAGACCAATCAAATGCTTTAAGAGTTGCAGTAGGAGCGACGTTAGCCCTGTGCAGCTATTTTCAAGGGGACGACAGTTAATTTTTTTTTCTCATCAAGAGGATCTAGTGCAACACCTTTAACACTAACAGTTCAATAAAACATCTAAAACACCAACTTGGCCCAGAGTTCAGAAGTTTGTTGGCAGCAGTGGAAAACTGTAGCAGCTAACTTGGCATTAAACTCTGAAAAAGCAGCCTGAGGTTTCCAAGCTCAACCCATGAGGCACTCAGAGAGTACTGGGAATAATGTATAAGAAAAATGTATAAGAATGTCTCAGCATCTTGATGTTGCCATGATGAGAGCATACTCTTCCTGCGACCTTAGTGTGTGTCTGGCTTTCAAAGAAAAAAAACAAAACAGATGCACTGACTCAGCTGTCCTCCCAAGTTGAAGAATATGTTGATAATAGACTATTTTCTTTCAAATTTCTGTGGGTTCAGAAAGCTGAAGGCTGCAGCCAGCAGCAAAATCTGAATGTGTCTGTGCTTATTTCCTACCTCAGTCATGTTTGACTAGTCATTGTTTTGCTTCATTTGAACTAAGGCCTTAAACTTGGTGGATAATGCATCTGATTACTGCCAGATGAGACTGGTTATGAAAGGTTTTTAAAGCACGCAGATGTCTAAGAATGACAGTACTTCATAATATATAAATAAATACGATTTTGACCCTTTAGATTGTTTTTTTAGACCACAGCAGCACAAGAAATATGCATGATGAGCAGCAGGAAAGGAGATAACCAGGGTCTGCTGACTAGTCTTTAGAAAAGACTACTTTTTTGAGCTGCTGAATTTACTTTAAAAACTAGGATACATTATCCGGTAGATTAACTGT